CAACTGAATGGAAATTTCAAGTCCGCTATACACTCCCACACTTGTCCCTCCTCTGCTTGATAGAGTTCAGTACAAACCAACAGTATATAGGCTCTGGGAATACAAGATCTAACCAGCTGTGGCTGGACATTAGTGGTGAGAGGCTTGCTGTAATTGTTGTGCTTCCCTTGGCCGATATGAATGAATGAGTGAGGTGAGTGCCCAGAAAACAAACGTAGGCCTCTTTTGTGCTCCCAGCATGAGCAACAGTCATGTTATGGCAGAACAAGTAATACTTTGAAATCTTTCCTTGCTGATTTCTTAAATATTACACTCATAAATATTAAGGTGCCAGACAAGGAGGTATGCAGCCTTTCAGTGGATGGTTCTTAAAAGAACCATTTTTGTAAATAAGATATACAAGTGCATGTTGCACGATTAGAGGGATATGGCTCAATCCCATTTCACCCCTCACCCCTACCGCTTAGCCCTTAGCCCTCTGTTTTGTGCGTTCACGTCTAGGGGCAGGAAAATTCATACTAGAAGCTGCCGAATAGCTGACTTAAGTTTCATATTACTGAAGAATTAGGGTTGACGATAATAAATAATTACTGGAACTCCCCCGTTTGACGGCATATGATGCCCTAAATGTAACTAAAGCCTAGCAGTGAGGCTGTTGAACTTTACCCTCCTCTGCTGTCACTGCAGACTGGCTGGGTCACCTACAGAGCACTGCTGGTAGCAAAACCAGCATATTTACAAATATCTGCTTACTCAGAATACAGCAGCTTAGGTCTGACTATTCACTGGGAAGTGAAAAGGAGTGTTTTAGGCTAGACTGCTTTTGAATGCGGCATAACACAGGGCAGTCAGTCATAGTTAATGTACATATAACAGTCTTTAAAGACCTGGTGACAAAAACAGCTGATGCACATCGGAAAAATCATTATGGAAAATGTAAAGGTTGGAAATGGCTGTAAATGTAAAAATGAATTATGGCTGGTTTTAGTTGTACATAAAACTTCACAAATGTCATAAATGGACCTCTGGAAAAAAATGAAATACAAAACAAATAAGCCTCTTTAGTCTAAGCTTAGGCTTAATCTGGGTCTGGCAAACTGGCCGTCTTTCTCCTAACAACAGTTGTTATGTTGTGAAGCTATTGGGAAACAAATTCAGCCCAGACCAGCTGCTCAGGAAGCTGCAGTTATGCTCTTCGTTCGGCTGACTCGAGATCAGCCTTTGCATCCTCAGCTTTCAACAGGACTATCAGGAGGTAAAGGGAAGCACTGACCCCACAGCAGATGGTCTGTGTCTCCAGGAAGAGTGCTGAAGGAAGTCAGAAATAACATGGGCTTCCCTTGTGGAGGATTCAGGCAAGAGGCCTGGCAGAAGTAGCATTACATACTTTTTTCCATGTAACAGGAACCCCTTTTGCCCTTTTGTTATTGCAGATAATAGTGTTTTTTTTAAAGAAACTGTAGAATAAATCCATGAAGGTTTTAAAATGTTGATGATTTGAGGCTATAATTCAGGCCATGCTATAGCTCTAGCCTATTGTCCAGGTTCTTTGAACACTCATTAAACACTAGCTGAACTCTTAACCTTCATTCTCAAGTGCTGGAAAACTGTAATATGCTCCTGTGTTCTCAGATTGGTTTTCAAATATCTGTGGCCGTACTGTGAATAAATCTTGCATGTATACAAAAATACCACCTTCCCCGCTTCCAGGATTTAATACAGCCAGGAGCCTTTTTATTTAATAAATAGGCACTTCCTCAAGCAAGTAATTCAAAGTCCTTTATATACTGAGGAAGTTTGGTTCCCTGACTCCTTTTTTTAAATTGCTTAATGGAGCTTGGTTGTGTGCTGGCTATGCAAAACTGTTACACATTCATAGAGGGAGGTCTGAATTGTGTAAGCTCAGCGTAAACTTTTATAATAAATATCCAATCTCTTGTTCATACTGTTACATTTGAAGTGACTTATTTATCCAAGCTTCTGCAGCTATAGAGACATGTAAAACCACAAAGTGGCTTTTGTGTACGGAAACACCAAAACCTCCATTGATTATAATGATGAATAGAAATTGTGGGCTGATGCAAATGTCTGATATTAATCATTAGCATATCTGCTGATGCTGATACATAAACATTTATAAAATGGAGAATTTGGGACTAAATAAAGTAGAATAAGTAGAATGCAGGCATTTTAGCACAGCAGCCCAGCATCAGCTAAATGCTCTGCTCTTCTCAAGTACAGTTAATACAGTGAGGTGAAACAAGTATTCAGACACTTATGTTTTTCTTATCTAAGATACTTCCAGTGCATATATCCACTTCAAACTGACACACACAATTTTGACTTTGAAATATGAACAGAAAAGCATGTATTTATAAACAAAAATGATAGAGAAAGAAGTATTGAGACAGGAGCATGTTTACCGCTGTGTTACATCACCGTTCCATTTAACAGCACTTAATAATCATTTGAAGACCAAAGACACAAACTGATTCAGTTTTGAAAGTGGACTTTTTTGCCAGAAGTGGGGTTGTTTTTTAGGAGTTGGGCAGGAACTTTTAATGCTTCAGTAGACCAAGAGATTTTGGACAACTTCATGCTCCCAACTTTGTGGGAACAGTTTGGGGATGGCCCCTTCCTGTTCCAACATGACTGCGCACCAGTGCACAAAGCAAGGTCCATAAAGACATGGATGAGCGAGTTTGGTGTGGAAGAACTTGACTGGCCTCAACCCAATAGAACACCTTTGGGATGAATTAGAGCGGAGACTGCGAGCCAGGCCTTCTCGTCCAACATCAGTGTCTGACCTCACAAATGCACTTCTGGAAGAATGGTCAAAAATTCCCATAAACACACTCCTAAACCTTGTGGAAAGCCTTCCCAGAAGAGTTGAAGCTGTTATAGCTGCAAAAGGTGGGCTGACATCATATTAAACCCTATGGATTAACAATGGGGTGTCACTCATATGCGTGTGAAGGCAGACGAGTGAATACTTTTGGCAGTATAGTGTATATTGTTCTTGACAAAGGTCCTAAGAAAAAGTCTACATCAGATTCATGATGTGTTCTTAAACTGCAGAATTGTTCTCACCTTTGTGCTCTTAAGTGTTCGTAGATTCTGTTCTTACCTAAGAACAAATTCCAAATAAGAAAACATTGGTGAGAATCTTTGTGAAGACTGCGTAAGTGGGTTTTAAGAATGAGAACTGTTGGTGAATGAGACCCAATAATCTTAATACAAACCACTGGAAAGCTGTGTGTGTGTCAGTAAGTTCCGTGCAGTGTTGCCTGAGGGTATAGTCTGGTGTCGGCTCTTAAGCGCGATTTCAAACACCCTCGATGCTGTGATATTTGCGTTACACCTACACACTTTACACAGTGCATATTATCCCCATACTGTTGATTCATTGCAATGAAAGTGAATAAAAACACTTGATGTATGCACACATATGAGCACACACATCAGCTGAACTCTGTATCAATGCATAGAGATATTAAAAAGTGGACTGTAGAACATAGTATTGATAATGTGAAGTGTATAGATGAATAGCCAGAAACTGCTTTAAACATAACCTACATAAGAACCTGACAGTTGTATAACATAAATACAATGTGACCTTGGCTCAGTGCACCTCAGTAGTTCTTGAAAGCCGTCTGCACACCCATGTGCGATTTCCCCACACCGACATCTCACTTTCTCCCATAATTTTATTACTTCTGGATGTTTGCTTTCATTGGAGTACTGTTATCGTCTCAAAAAGTGGCCCCGAACACCACTATTTTTAGCTGTGTGCTGCATGTGTTAGTAAGCTTGTTTAGCGGTCCCATTAAAATTCAAAAATATTCCTCAACTGAACCGTAGAAACTATTTGTTTTATTGGAAATTAAATAAAATTAAACTTTTTTTTTTGGTGTAACATTTGGGTAATTGTATAGTCATTTACGTCTCTAGGCTTGCAGCAATAGCAATAACTTTTGTGGTCAAACTGCTTTTTTAACAAACAGGATGGCTCTTTCATGGGACTTTGTTGACTTGCATGTTGCTGCTTTATTTAACAACGAATACCCCAATAGTTTTGATTATAAAAGATTAATAAGAATCATAAAAACAACCATTTATGAAATATTGAATTGGGAGCCAGTTAAAATGTTGTTAAAATGGCTCTAAAATCGTGTTATTGTGAAAGTGTCAAGTGATTCTTGACTGCAGAACTAAAAGGGTCTTTCAAAAAGTGGTTTGGCTGTATCTTTTGAACTTGTTCTCTGAATATTCTTGTTTATGGGCTGTGGATGGAACAAGAGGATTTGTTTTGTGTCTTCAATACAGGTGTCTTTCCTTGGGTATCTGTTCTAACAGACGACTCTAAGCTATACATGATCTCCATTTACTTGCTCCAGTGTTTAGATTGTTTTAATCTGTTTTGGTGTTTTTAAAAAATCTACACACATCCTCCTTAAATGCTACAAGAATTGTTGAATTCAGTAGCTGTTGGCTAATCCTGAATTTGAGCTTGAATCTCATCGGTGCTGTTGTGTTTCAGTGGACTGAAGGTTGAATGGTAATCTCACTTCAGAACATATTTGTTTACACTGCAATAAAAGCCTTAATAGGAAATCTGTGGTGACTGTTTTTTTCTCTCTCTCTCTGTCTTCCCCAATCCGCTTTATGTAATCTAGCGAGAGATCCACATTATCTGATTGTGATTGCTGACTAGCTGCCAAATCCATGCAGCGCAGGACAGGATTAAGTTCCTTGTACCGTAGACATTCAAAGCCATTGTGTTAGATGTAAAATGGAGGAGACATTAAAGAGGAATGTCACGGTTCAGTAGGTCATTGTCATGGTCCTTCAGAGTGAGGCCTCAGAGTTGAATGAAGTTGAATCCTGATAATGTGAACATATACTGTGAACTGAAAGTACCTATACATGTATTGTGTGCTTGCAGTATTGCAGAACACCAGGCAACGTCTCGCTGAGCTTTGTCCGGTTGTCTTTTTCAGGTGGTGTTTCATGATGTTGGTGATTTGACGGAGAAGCTGTTCCCCATCGTAGAGGCCATGCAGAAGCACTTCAGTGCAGGCTCTGGGGCCTACTACAGTGATGCCATCTTCTTCCTTTCAGTGGCCATGCATCGTATCATGCCTGCAGGTAAGCTGGGTGTGTAAACACAGTAACAGGAAATTTCATGACAGTTTTGAGGCCACAAAAAAAATTACCAACTACTATTTTAGGTGCATATGTAGTGCTTTATATAAGGCAAATGAGGCAGTGCTACGACAACTGCGGTTGTTGCATGTCTTGCAACATAATATTCTTATATAAAAAATTTTGATATGCTGTGGAAGGATTAATAAGTATTTCTTTCTTTCACCCATCATCCATACATATGTACAGTCTTATCACAAAACTTTGGGCACCCTAGGTCAAATTTGTGACCCAAACTTGCTAGTTAGTTTAAAGCTATATTTTGTAAATTGGTGGAAATGGTGCAATGTGTGGGAGAATATCTTCTTCCTTGCGCAGAACAGTCTGATGATTGTGAGTGTTTTCAAGGAAAATTTGAAGAGAACTCAAAGTCAAAACTCAGAGAACAACATGTAAGTGAATTTGACTATCTACTATTGCCATCATATCTTTATCAGTATCATGTTGATTTTGCATTTTGACCTAAATATTAAGCTGGACCTTTTTTTTTACTGTGTGTGTGTGACATTGATAGGTAAAAACATATGCCGAAAAGCTCCCGAAATTGGACGTGACACCTCTTACTTTAAAATGGTTTTCAGGCTTTACTGGATGACTTGCAGCAGCATGCGCACACCATATTTTAGTGTGTTTTTATTTTTTGCCTGTGTTACTTCTTTTTTTTTTTTTAACAACTTTTTTGTTAACAACTTTTTTGTGCAACTTTCACGTATTGGCTGCGTTCACACTCACAAAAAAGATCTACATTTACACTGACCAGACTCTAAAAAAGTTTCAGTTTTTCTCCTGGAGTGTGAACTGATGCAACTAAGCTGTCTTGCTTACTGGTTATATTAGCTTAGCACTAGTTAGTAGTAATTCTCTAAAATCAGCAATAGACACATCAACGTACCATTCTAGTTTACGTTCTGGGGCTCTTGTCATAGTGCTTCATGACTTTGTCTTCACCTAGAAGAGTAAGGAATTTACTAAATTGTCATTGGCATCAGCTACAAGTGTCACCAAAGACGAGGAGAACACACGTTAGGGGCTGTTGATACCACTATTGAGCTGGTATCAAAAACTGTAAAACTGAAACCTTCAGTGCTAGACCAATGGAAAAAGCCCAGTTCCAATTTTCTGTTGCCAAAGGTTCTGGTAGGAAGAAAAGGTTCTGTGCGGTGGAAAAAAAAACACTGAAAATAAGTGAATGCATCTTCTACAGGGAGCACATTCATTTTATTTATTTTGTTATTTATGCATAAGACTTACATTATTCCAGATTTAAACTTTGCTTCATAATGCAAACTTGTTAGTTTTATAAATGAAAACAATGTGAACACTTTCATCATCTGCCTAAATCTTGGTAACAGATTTTTCTGTAATATGAGCAAAAGTAGAGCAGCCTCGCACATTCTAACAGTGTACAAACTGTTTAGCAGATGTGGACATCCACAATAGGCCTTCAGTCAGTGAGACAGAGAAAGCAGTTTGACACAAGGCCAGTGTCAGCTGTGCTAGAGCTGGGGGGAGGAGGAGGTGTGGGGGCAGTCGGTGAGACTGTCGTGCTCACAGGTGCTGCACCAACACGTGGCACGGTGCACAGGGAGGGGAGGGGGAGACGCGCTTCTGATTGTCCTCATACAGTGCTCTGGACACAGGGCTCTGCTGATGCTGTCCACCCCGTCGTGCTTTTTTCACTCTCTGACAGCAATGCATCTTGGGACCACTCTCCCTACCATCCAAAACACCTGCTTGGCCTTTTTGGAGGGATCGATGAGGTCCCTGGGACTCCTCAACTTTTATACAGGGACAGGCAGGGAAGCAATTCAAGAGACAGAGATGAAGTTTTAATGGACTTGAGTTCTTGAGGTGTGTGTGTGTGTGTGTGTGTGTGTGCATGTCAGTTGTTAGCATGTAGCACTAACTAAAGTATACAGGTATAGTAAAGTATGCATTGGCTATTTTATTAGGGATAGATGACCTGATATTATGTTGTTGGTTCATTTTTAACAAAGCAGTGATGGCAACAATTACCTTTGATTTTTGATTATACTTTTAACAAGCGAAGATAGAAATGAAAATGTCCAGAAATTATGGATAACTTATTTATTACACGTAAAACGATAAGTTATGATTTTACAAATAATTTACTGCTTTCTGGAGGCTTGTCTGCAGAGGTGGTCAGCCACTGAAGTTCTGTGCTTTCAAACTCCTGCAGAAGCAGTGTGGATCCGCACACCGCAGCAGTTGAGGACTAGAGGATGATTGTCACAAACTGTGCAGCAACAGATGAGCTATTGTCTCTAACTTTACATCTGCAAGGTGTGCCTAACAGATTGGACAGTAAGTGGGCACAGTGTTTTAAAAAACTTCTGCAGCACTGCTGAGTCTGATCCACTCACAAAAGTGCAACATACACAAACATACCATGACCACGTCGGTGTCACTGCAGTGCTAATAATGACCCATTAGATGCTCTATGGTGGTGATATGGGGGTCCTGACCATTGAACAACAGAGTGAAAGGGGGCTAAAGTATACAGAGAACTGTAATTGTAGATTGTAAAGTGCGCTGAAATGATAAGTGGAGCTGATAAAATGGACAGTGAGTACAGATACAAGAAGGTTTACATAATTAATTAATTTGCCAGTCAGTGTATATATATGGGATATGCATGATATGTTGCCCATACAAAAAACATAATTAAAATTTTCACAGTAATATGTACATATAAGAGGGGCCTTTGGGATGTTGGTACATTGAAGGAAAAAAACATGACTTAGTCACTGTAAGCCTGACTCTGCAGTGCTGAATATCTTTTCTGTGTGGACTGTTACTGTGATGTCTTCTGAGAGAGGATTTGCTCTCTACACCCATCTGCACTTGCTAAAACATTTGCAGTAGACAGCCCAAATAATATCAGAAGGCACCTGTGGATAAAAATAAAATGTTCAATCAAGAAAGAACCCTAGCTGAGAGGAGGAAAAACATGAAAAGATGCACAAGGTGGGTTGTTTCAATCTAACGGATTGGCCATCAGTGTAGCTCTGTGTTACATTTGGATCAGTTGAGGCTTACTTGCTCTCAGATGATAATCCCATAGACTACTTTCCAAAAGACATTGTCCAGATTTAGATCAGAAAAGTGCTTTTGTGCAGTACTGATGATGCTTTGGAACTTCAATAAAAACACTGCTGTTCTCTGCACTGTTTTCTTTTAATTTGTGTCTTTATAGTGAATGAGTGTATTTGGATTTGCTCGGCGTGATGTCTACGCTGGCCTCATTTATCCTGAAGCGCTGCCTGCTGTGCCTCTCTCTTTCTCTTGCTTTTTTTCATGAGTGCCTGTGTTTTTGTGAAGAGGCTGTTTAGAACTGCCGGGAGTCCCAGTGCTTGCGGCTGAAAGTGAGTGGTGTGTGGTGGGTGAGGAGAGGAAAGAGGGAAAATGACAGCTACGGAAAAAAAGTTCAATGTGTGATTTTTGTTGTTTTGTTTTTTGTCCCCACGCATGTTGTGATGTTGCTTGTGGACAGTTTTTTTATTTATTTTATTTTTTACAATAGTTGCCTGAGACACACAAACATTAATGCTAGCCTTTACACTGCTGAGAAGTAGGTCAGTGCACTTCATTCTTTTCCTGCTGTTCACCTTGATGGAAATCTCCCAGATGTTTGAATGGATGTTTTTGCTGTCCATTGTACATTGTACTTTTGCTGCATGGCCTTTTTCCAGAAACGCCGTGCTCAGAAGTCATGATATCCATATCGGTGGAAGGTTATAAAGAGTATGATTGCTGGAAGTCTGTTAGGCCCCTTGTCTTTGCATCATACTCTGTGTTTTGTATAACTTGCAAGTCTATATACTGTCTTATCACATTATAAAGACTATGGCTTTGTAACATTAAAAACATTTAAAGTAGGGATGGACAATGATACTGGAATCATATCAGTTAAATACATATTTGATGAAACAGCTGAACGTACAGTGATGCTGGGCTACTGCGCTGATATTTTTATTCATTTTAGTGCATTTGAAATCCTACATAAATAAACGTTATATTTCACTGTAATGGTCATCAAGATGGATTTCGCCCCAGTTTCTATGTTCAAAAACGTTTGTGGATCTTCATCAATATCAGCATCGACAGACATGTACGTGAAGAATATTAGATATCTGCACTGGCCCACAATTCACTTATCAGTTTATCCCTAATATAAAGAGACATTGGATAGAGCTGGGCGATATGGCCGAAAACGTTATCACGATAAACAAAATTCATATCGTTCGATATCGATACATATCGCGATAAATGTCAAATCATGATTTCTTTCACGTTTGAAGGCTGATTTTGCTCCTGGGTGGTTAATTGTGGTTTTAAACTATCACTTATGGTCGGATCATGACAAACACTCGGCAAACAGTGGAACATTTCACTAATCTGTCATGGAAGAGTGGGAGAAAGTTTCTGAGCTGTTTTTATCAGCTTGAAAAGCACAGCTGCAATTTTTGTAATAGTCATGATTTAAGAAAGAAAACATTATTTTTAGCTGTCTGGTGACGAGCGCTCAACTACCCCGTTACAGATGCTAAACAAGTGGCCAACAACAGTGCTAAACTCTTTAGTTTCTCAACAACGTCAACTCGGTTTGGGAGGTCACTGCGGTCACTCCTACCACATCCATGTCAGAGCATATCACAGTATTCAGACACCAGCTAGCGACGACTGGATTCTTTATGCTATCGCAGTAGTTTAAGGGGTGAACCGCAGTATATCTGACGTTCGCTGTGTAAAAGCATTATCTGCAGTGTGAATCTCTCACACCAGTCAAACAGAGTCCTCCTTTTAGGTATGTTTAAACTGAAAGCGGTGATTTTGTGTCGTGTTTGATCTACCGTACCATCAATTCACCGTGTTTTGCCGGAGCGCTGCTTCAAGTTAGCCAGCAGCTAAAAACAGCTAGC